TCCTGTCCATGAATGTTTTAAAAAGTTAATACAAGGTTATGTTGGTGCAAAGAAATTGTAATCCATGCATGGGTGTGTGTGCATATTTCAATTGCCAAATGTTACCAGTTATGACCCAGTACTAGGTATATGTGACATTAATCAAAGTGCCTGGCATGGTTCCACTTTATTTTTTTAAGATGATAATGTCATTTACTTAACATATGTATTAAAATGTCATCTTGGATATAAAAGGTGAACTAAACACACCACTCTTTCCTTCTTCGTGTGTAAATTGAAACATGGATTCATGTCTACGTCTGAAATAGCCAGCAACCTATTTTGGGTGGACAAGATGACTCCCATTTAACCGTAAATTTTCTATCACAACCTTCACTTCTTTCCCCTCAGGAAGAACTGGTTATATGTACACAGTGTTTTCCTTCGTTTTATCCACCAAAGTTCAGTGAATTTTACCTCTACTCGTCTGGTCTTTACCTATGAACTATTTCAATAGTTTTTTTTCCCCTCAAATTACTTTAACTCTAAAGCAGTTACCTTAAATCAATAAAACATTCAACCTTCATCCTTGTGTCACATGTATAAGATGAGAAAAATAAGAGATCATACCCCCTCTCAACTCCCTAAAAAAATAATTACTTTAAAATGAAAATAGAAACATCAGTAATACTGACCAACCTGAGACCTCATTAAGGTGCCCGCTATAATATTTCTCATTATTTATAGTCCCCCATTTGGCCTACATTTCCTTAAGTATGCAACATTTTATAGTGCTTCCTATTACACTATATTGCTTTTTTTTCAATTGCATGCAAGTTTATCAAAATATATCTGTGCCAATTTTATTAGATATATTTAATATTTTTTTACTACCCCAAACCCACTGCTTCGAGTGCATTTCAAATCACAGCAACACTGTGTAGAGTTTTCTGAGGCTGTCCATCATTATGGGAATAGATAACCTCATCTTCCTACCATAGTGTGACAGAGCTTTGAACTACCAAGCTTGCAGTTAGCCACCCTTTAAATATAATTCGATGGACTACCCTGAGAATCTAACCACTTACAAGAGTGTTCTAATGGGACTGTACACTTCTCATCAAAAACAAGTGGGTCCACTGTTCTAAAAAGGATCACATTAGAAAGTCTTGGGTATAGTGGAAGAAAATACAGAAAACCCCCAAATCATAAACGAGATCATGCTTACTGGTCAATAGAGACTGCTGGAACACCCCATCAAAATAGCTCCTTTTCACCCTTCAGGTATGGAACTAAACTCATTCCTTTAGCTCAATTTTCAGAGACAATAGACACATAAATAAAGGGAACAATAACACCATTAAGTGATGGTGCACTGAGGGGATTGTCATGAATGAAATATGTATGAATCGTTGAATATAAAACTGATGATCGGCTCTGTAAGCCTTCCCCCAATTCAAATAAAGTTAAGAAATAAAAGAAAACCAAGTTGGTCCGAGTCTATATAGATTAGAAAGATGCTAAATAAAGACTACATAGACAATTAAATTTCTACACTTGCACCGTTTAAGTGTTATAACTTGGATTTAAATAGTTGCCATGTAGTTTCATCCTTCATTGGCTTTGGCGGTGTCTGCATTTTATTTCCACTCTACAATTACATAGCAAGGCATTTGTATTTTATTTCCATTCCATGATCACATGGCCTTATCAAATGTTTCATTTGGATATAGTTGCTGCCTTTGCCATAAATTTTATCTTCTCCATTAATCAAGCTCCCCCAGCACTCCTGTGAAGTTAAAATGGAAAGTAAACACACCATGCTTACTTAAAAGGATGGAAGGAGAAAAGGACAGAATAAAGAGACATGGACCATTATTTTTTAAAGATATAAAAAGCATAGTTTCTGGTTGTGAAAACGAAAAACAAACCTCTATGTAAATTATAGACAAAAAGTTTTAGAAGTAGAGTGAGTTTGCTGCCACTTCTGTACTTACCAACCCATTTGTTCCTATTGGTTTTAGTGTGGTTTTTGTTGTTGTTGATAATTTATTTTTGTTTATTCTACCCCAGGGGGCTGGAAAATGACCTGGTCATTCTTCTAAAGGATCTGATTGGAACATTCAAGTACATATATACAAAATGCAAATGTGACTTTAATTTTATCTCAATAGAAAGGATGATAATGCTGTGTTACAATTGTGATGAGAAATACAGCTACCAATAATGCTTTTTGGAAAGGGGAGGGAGGAAAATATATAGGAAGCCAAACCTGTGGTTCCCAAAGTGTGTTCCAGCTGCGGAATCACCTAGCAGAGGAAGCAGACGCTCCCTGTCCCAAGGTTAAGGAATGAGACTCAATGGATTGTGGGTACGATCGGTGGGACCCATTGCTCTGAGGGTGACCAACTAACAGCGACTCGGAACCAACACGTATTTGCTTTTTTCACAGTCTCTCTGCTTTATGTGACAAGTGTTAAGTGTGCCAGACAGGCCTCTGATCTCACAGATGAGGGTTACTAAAAGTCCAACCCTCACAATTGTGAGGATAGTATACAGTCACCCATACCTTGGAGATATACCAGTTAACTATTGATGTGATGGAGCCTGATGCATCCTACCTGTGTATAAAATTCTTTGTTCAACAATGCTACACCTCTGACTAAAATAAAGTTATTCTCAATATAGTTGCGGTAAAACCCATGGGACAACTGATGAGGAACTACAAATGCCACGTATGCAAGTGAACGTTGGACACTGGGTAAGGAAGACTGAAGAGGAATTGGTGCATTAGAATTCAGGTGCTGGAGAAGAATATCAAAAGTATCACGGAGTGCCAAAAGAAAAAACTTGGAAAATGCACAGCCAGAATGCTTCCCTAGAGGCAAGGATGGTGAGATTGTGTCTCGCGTACTTTGAACGTGTTATCAGGAGAGATCATTCCCTAGAGAAGGACATCATGCTTGGTAAATAGAGAGGCAGCAAAACAGAGGAATACCCATGACAAGATGGATTGACGTGGTGGCTGAAACAATGGATTCAAACATACGAACAATCATGAGGACGGTCCGGGAGCGGGCAGTGTTTTGATCTGTTGTGCTCAGGGTCATTATGGCTTGGAACCACCTGGATGTCACCAAACACACACATACACACAATAACATGACAATAACAGTACTTGGAATAAGTCTCCAGCGAAATCCCCAATGCACACAGGCTAAGATCATCAACAGGCCAAATCTCAAAGAGCCCTGGAAAGTGGACTTCAGCAACTGTACTTTGACTGACATGACAATAAATGGAACCAGGACCTCACAGAAACAATAGTTACAAGAATGGATTTTTAGCTCTCACTTGATCTTCGCCCTAATCTACAAATAATTTGTTCTGATGGCATGGTCTTGCCTGATGCTTGTCCTCATGAAAAGATCACTGGAGTGTCATAGCAAAGTGTGGCAAAGAAACCAGATGGTGCCACGCTATCATGAATAAGAGTCTAAAGGCTTGTCTGAAAACAAGCCAAAACCTCCAAGTTCAATACCATTGAGTCGATTCCAACTCATAGCGACCCTGTATGACAGGGTAGAACTGCCCCTGTGATTTTCCAAGACTGTAACTCTATGGGAGTAGAAAGCCTCATCTTTATCCTGAGGAACAGCTGGTGGTTTTGAATTTCCAACCTTGCAATTATCAGCCCAATGCGTAGCTACTACATCATCAGTGCTCCCATCTGAAAACAAGCAGCCATCTAAATGAGGAGTCATCTAAATCCACATGGAGGAAGCACACCAGTCTGTGTGATCCAAAGGTAGCTAATGATAAAATCCAAATCTGGAGAAGGGAATGATACCAGTGTCTAAATCCTACATACCTGGTTTCAGTAAAGCTACAGACAACAGTGGAGCCAAATATCCATTTGGAGGGTCAGTACTTGGAATAAGTCTCCAGCGAAATCCCCAATGCACACAGGCTAAGATCATCAACAGGCCAAATCTCAAAGAGCCCTGGAAAGTGGACTTCAGCAACTGTACTTTGACTGGAATGTGACATCTTGTAATTGGATCCCCTTATGGACCCAATGTGAATTTATTCTAAATTTTTAATAGTCTCTGCATTCTCTTAGATGAGACCTCTATCAGTTTTATGTGGCTATTGCCCAGGAATCTTTGTTTGATTTCTGCTCTACTCTAGAAAGTTTGTCTGTACAGGGAGAGTAGGGTAGGTGGAATCACAAAGACAGTAAAGGAATTAATGATTACCTGGGGGCACAGCCAGGGGAAGGAGGGAGGAGAAGTTAATATCAATGTGTAAAAGAAGTAGAAAATGTTCCAAAGTTGACTGTGGCAATGATGGCACAGTCCTTCATAATATGACTGAACTACGGAATTGTAAGATATGTTAAGAATTATTCTATTTAAAGAACAAAAATAGACTCTTGGTCCTAGAGGGATGGGTGTTGGCTGTGCTGATCATACCACTCAATAAACCACCCACATCCCTCTATATTTGAAGGAAGCAGGTTCTGAGATGATCATTCAATAGCTTTATAGGAAAAAGGAGTGGCAGCACAGAAATGTGGGGAGCAAAAGCATCCTTCCTGGATGTCAGAGATCCGGGAAGAGTCCTTCCACTGGCGGACGATCAAAGCTCCAGGCACAACGAAAAAGCACGCAGATGCCCATTAGGCCAGAAAGACTGTGGGTGTGAATTAGATGCCTACTTCACATTCAGTAAATATTCATAACTTCATAAAATTAAATCTTAATACTACAGTAGAAGCAGAAGCATTAAAGTCCATTCCTCGGGTAGCCCCACAAGTGAAATCAGTTGCTCAGAAAGCAAATGGGGTCAAGTCGTAGAGGATTAGACACAAAATACAGAACTTTGAATTCATTGCTATATCAAAAAATCTTGGTCAAGGGGAAAAAAATCCTTTCATAACTGCACTGGTTGCTGTGAAGTAACACAAATCACACATTGTACATACAGTCGTCAACAGTTGAAAAAGCAAACAGACTGACCAGGCTGCACTGGTGAGCTCATCACGGAAATCAGCAGGCTACACCGGGCTTCCGATGAAGGTTCAAGGCCTTTGCTCAGCTGGTGATGCTGGTCCACAAGGTGCTGTCAAGGGAGAGACCTGGAACATAAGCAAAGTGCAATGTGTCAGACAGAAGCTGGAGACGCTGGTGATTCCGTGGGGGCATTCCAGGGGGAGACATAGCTTAGATCCCTCGTCAGTGTACTCCAGGTGCCACCACCCACTGTCTGCCAACGGAAGCTTGGGTGCTGATGAGAAGCTGAAACCATTCAGTGGGGCTTTCGGATTAAGATGGATTAGGAAGGAAGAAATGGCAAAAGTTCTGAAAACCAGAGAAGCCTGCTCCTAAACATTAGGCAATAAACTATTCATGGAGCCCCAAGGTCTGTTCTACAATGGATGACAGGGATGGTGCAGAACCAGGTAGCATTTTGCGTTGTTGTGAGAGAGGCTGCTGACTCCATGCTGCTAACAAGAAGATGTAGGTCATGTCAAACCAGAAATGACGCACAGGGACCTGGCCCTGAGCCGTCTCACCTCAGTCAGAATTGGAGCTTGGGTCTCTGAAGCAGTCACAAGAACCTCCCAGGTCTCTGAGGATTCGCCTATGGGTCAGGATATTTACCAGTCTTGTTTATATCACAGGAATATTGTGATATAAAGAACAGGTGTGGAAGGAATCTATGACTGGGAAAGTAATTTATTATTTTATAATTATTATTTTCTTATTCAATACCATTTGTTGGCTGCTATAGACATTATTCTGTTTATATTAAAACCTTTGTTATGTATGTAACTCATCACATGGTATGTTCCACTATCATGGTGAAAGATGTCCTTCTACAGATAGAAATTCTCAGGAAAATAGCAATAAAATATCTTCATAGACTCAAAAAGGAATAAATAAGCCATGAACTATAAGCATGAGAGAAAAGCCCCATTAAATTTTGCATTTTCTTTCTTAAAGACTTGCTCCTGCCAAAGCCAGAGCACCACCGTGATGACTGTGTCTCCGAGCGGTGGTAACAGGATGAGCTTCCTGCGAGGAATTTAAGGGACTTTCTGCTTTTCATTTAAATGCACTCCCACTGCCAGATACTTAAGCAGAGGAGAAGTAATTGAAAGGATATTTTTCTAACAATTTACTGGAATGTCAAAGTTTAAAAAAAAAAGAAGCAGCATTTAAAGTTATAATTAATGAGTTTCTCACTAAAATAGTGTATCCCAATTGCACTATTTTTATAGACAGAATACTGTAACTCTGAAAATTGTACATCTCTTTATCTTGAGACTCCATCATATTCATTGTGACTTGTTTTCCAGTTAGTGTTTTGAAAGTGTTATTCTTTTTGCTCAAATATAGAAAGTATGCATAAATACATATTTGCTCTTAAGGACTCTATGACATGAACAAAAACACGTATAATGGTCTTTTAAGTAGAAATATGTTCAAATTCAATTCACTGCTGAGTTAATTCTGACACTCATCGACCTTATGGAGCAAGGTAGAACTGCCCCTGTGGGTTTCCTAGACTGTAAATCTTTATGAGAGTAGAAAGCCTCATCTTTTTCTTACAGAGTGGCTGGTATATTTGAACTGCTGACCATGTAGCTAGAACCCAAACTCGTAAACCATGATGCCACCAGAAATAAGTTACTCTGTTATTAAAAACACTCAAATATCCCAGAACAGGATGACAGTTGGGGGGGGTATGGGGGCATGGGGGTATGGGAGGCAGGGGAAAGGAAGAGGGTGTTAACAAGCCCAGGGACAAGGGAACAACAACTGATCCAAAATCAGTGTCAAGGAGGGTGTGGGAGGTCTGGCAGGGCTGGATCAAGGGCAATGTAATCGAAAGGAATTCCTAAAACCCAAATGAAGGCAGAACATGATAGTGGGACAAGAGGAAAGTACAAAGAAATAGAGGAAAGAACTAGGAGGCAAAGG